AAAGATCCTGGGTACGAGGTTGCAGAGGCGGTAGTTCATTTACACCCAGTTTTGCGGCAGGCGGTATTTCCTACGTACCGCCTGCCATGCAGGCTACAGGTGTCCAGAAAATTATCATGTGAGCAAAATAAAGCAATATGGTTAGATAATTTATTCATTATTGAGTAGTTTTTCTGCAGATGGATTTTCGACACAAATGTCAAGTTTATATATACATTTTTCTGTCAGAGGCCCGTTAAAAAAAACACATCTATCGAATGAGATTTTCAATGGACATTTGATCAGCCACGTTGATTTAACTTCATTACCGTTTTTATTCTGATAAAAAAGCTCTATATAGAGAGAGGCGTGTATGTCAAAAAAATTCATTTTATAACCTCAAAAACAATCTCTAATCCTGAGCCTGTAATCGACACTCACTTATCCCTCTGTACAAGCCCCCTCAGAGAATTGCAGGCTCAGGGTTCGAGATTGTCTCAAAAATATCAAATCTGGGCACAATTCACACGAAGTGCAGCCAAGGATAGAGTTTTAAATATAAAAATGGCTAATATAAAAGTTGAATGGGGGCGTTTATTAGGGAGTGGCGTTAATTAGAAAGGGAGAGAGGCGTTTATTGCAAACGTCTTTAAGTTTAGGGGATCGTTCAAATACCGAGGGACTAAGATATGGATGGTCTAGATTCGGAGCTGAAGTCAATTAATGATTTGAACTATTTTAAGACGAAACGTAAGACAATTCTTATTGAAAAGCGATGTCTTTCTTTTTAACTCATAAACTATAATATATACAGGGTGTATCAAAATAAACGCAATTCATCTTTTGTGCTTAATAACTTTCGAAATACTATTTGTAGTTAAACGCTTTTAGGCTTACTTCAAAGCCTGTTCTTTTCTCTTTCAAACAAACTATTATCCTTGTCTCCAATGCTAGTAATAATTGCACAGGAAAAGATTTAGTAAGACCTATCATTTTTAGTTGCTGTTTAATTATGCAAGTTTACTATGTTATTGTTTAGTCGGTTTAAATGTTAGAATTTTCTTCTTTAAACTTTAATGTTGTCGTCACTACATCTGGAAAACCACGTAAGAACAAATTAAAGTATTTTAAAAGAGACCAGGTTGTTTGAAAATCCTAAACGAATGCTAAAAATCATCAAAACATTCTGGTGTCTGAGCCAGAGTGTCATCGAATTGCGATGTAATGTAAACAGAAATTATAGCAAGTTGATGTCAGTCAGCTTAGATGGTCCAAGCCAAAATTATATCGCATTTGAAGTTTCAAACTGAGTTAAAAATAGTGGAAGAAAAGTCGTAATTATACTTATTGTTACAATCCATTTAATAAAATGCAACATTTTTTTGTTTTAATGAAAAAATCAGTTATTTTCATGAGAACGATTTGTTATTCCATCTCAATTTTTTTAATCTCCAATCGCAATAACGTAAAGCATTATTACCCGCGAACCAATGAGTCAAATTTAAGAAACAACCCACTGTTAGAAAGCCGAATGGCTACGCTTTAAAATGAATGTAAACTTTAACGTTTTCGTCTATTATTTGTTTAGCAATTTACATTTCAGTCGAGGATTGCGCTTTTTTTGATACACCCTGTAGAGCGAGTATAACTTTAGTTGAGACCTCTGTATGTATTTCCTCTGTGCTTTAATGTATGTTAAAATGATCTAAAAGACTAAATGTCGAACAAAACACTATAGTCTATATAGTGAATTAAATGGTTCTCGAAGACGTGATCGTGGGGGCGTTTTTAATTACTGGCAGCATTCACTTAAATGTTTTTGCTTTATACATGCAAATTACGTGAACTTTGATGTAAACTTTGATGTATTAATGCTTTATGTACTGTAGATTATTGCATATATAAGCTTTATTGGTTCAGTGAAAATGCTTAGGAGTTAGGTGCGTGAATAATTAATTCTTGGTGGGCAATTGAGGTTCTCAGCTCACTATACGTTAATGGTAACATAATAACAGACAATCCTCGACCATAACAAATAATTATTATTAACAATTGAATCAAAATTTAATTTAGTCGCTGGTCCATGACGCATGACTTTGTCATGGCAGGGCCGTAGGAAGCTCTTTTCGATTGGGGGGCTGAAAGCGAGGGCCGAAGGCCCGAGGAAATTTTTAAATTTAGAGTCTCTAAAATGCCATTTCCTGGACTTTGGGGAAGATTTAACAGAATTCTGATAGTCAGAAAACAGCGTTTTAGTATGTCGAAATTTACAGGAAAGTATGGGCCAGACTGTAGTATTATAAATGCGCGGCGGGAATTTTCGTCGTAAATGGCAGTTGCGCGGAAATGAAGGCAGAACATTTGAGAAAATTTCGAAAATCTGGAGTCTCTAGATGGTCTGAAATGGCATTTTCAGAGTTTTCTTTCGCAAGACCCAACACGCAAAAGACAAAATAAATCATTAGTTCATCAAAATGTGCAGATTTTGTGGGATTTTCTTGAAAATGCGCGACAGAAATTCAGCTAAAATTTCTACGCGAGGAACGATCTGGAGTATGAGTAATATCTTCATTCTTTGCAGTTTGTCACAGATTAAATGATAAAGTTTGCATGATTTTGAAAAAAGAATGATTATTAGCAAATTACGCATGGTAAGATTTTGTCTTTGAATATTAATAATATACATAATTATTATTTTTTATCTACGCGTCAAGACAAGAATGGACAACTTGCATGTTAGACTAAATTTTATTCTATAAGTAACGAGAAGGGAATCAAACAGCTAAAAAGAACATCATGAAATTAGTAAAATTGCAAAATTTGGTTGCGAAATGTTATAAAGCTTGAAAAATATAGCCTTGCAAAGTTTCCAAATTTGGTATATATTTGTATCTTCAGTGCGCGCGGAAATTGTTACCATTTTCGGCTCAAAAATGGTAACAATTTCCGTATTTTACAGCATTTCGTATAAGTTCTTTACGGGAATTTACTTTTTTTCCCTATTTCAAAAATTAGTCTAACAGGCAAGTTGTAATCGAAAACAAAAAATCCGACACCGTCAATCGATGAGAAATATCGTTTAAAACCATTGAAATTTCTTTTTAATGAAACGGCAATGAATTATGACGCCAGCACTCATTTTAGTACGCCGGCCAGAATACGAATCGTACACGATTAATCGTAGCGTGTAAAGCTACGTTTACACGCTGCGATTTGTCGGGCCGATTTTGGTAAATAATCAATGCCCCTTCTTCGACATTTAGCGATTTAAACGTTCAATTGAAGCTGTCCGCTCTCTCGTCTGTTTATATTATAGTTTTCTGCGTGCGAAATGTTTTCAACAATTTTACAACGGAAGAAAAATCGTTGAATCGTGAGAAAAATCTGTGTTTTGTTACAGATTTTTCTCCCCATTTTGTGAATCGCAAGGTGCTGACGCGAGTACTCACGACAGGTTATTTACATACAGCGAGCAAAATCGGCCCGACAAATCGCAGCGTGTAAACGTACCTTAAACGTAGCCTTAGGCTTTTTTCGAAGAGTGTCTCAACAACAAGAAGAAGATTTGCAGCGATTGAGGAGCAGTTTCTGGTCCAATAATCATGAAATGAAACATATTCGTGTATGAAACATTACATGGGGAATGGGGATATATAACCTTATACTTTCATGTGGCCTGCCATGCTAAAACAGAAAATATCATCTTGAAGCGTCTGTGGCAAAGTAAGTAGTGCCAAATAAGAACAAGCTTTCGTTTGTGGGGTTGTAACAACCTGGAAACAGCTAGTGCAAAACTTGAAAGTCCTTGACTGATGTCCTTGAGTTTGAAAACAAAAATTCAAGGCCTTGAGGGCATGCTCTTTGAATTTGTAAAGAAGTACTTGAAAGTCCTTAAATTCTTCTTACTTTCGTTTATGGATATTTTCTGAAATTGTTTGACATTCAAAACGGACATATTTTGTTGAACTGATTTTGCATGTTCATATCTGACAAAGCCGTTTGAAATTCATTAAAGTTGCGCCATTTTTGAACAATTGAACGTCACATTTTACTGATTTCTAACGCCTTTTCTTTAGTATTTAGTCCTTGAATTTGCTGATACATGGCCTTGAATGTCCTTAAAAAGTCCTTGAATTCTACTTTTCCTGACATGTACGAACTCTATGGAAAATACAAAGTGAAATTGGACCTTTCGAGTGAAGGCCTTTCGTCGGGAAATTAGGCCCCGTTATACGCGGAAAGGCCCGAGGAAATTTTTCAATTTAGAGTCTCTGAAATGCCATTTCCTAGACTTTGGGGAAGATTTGACAGAATTCTGATGGTCAGAAAACAGCGTTTTAGTATGTCGAAATTTAATAGTACTAAATGGACGAAGGCGTATTTAATTAACTATATATTGGATAAGTTGCAGGAAAGTATGGGTAATATCTTCATATCTTCAGTTTGTCATGGATTAAATTATAAAGGTCTGCATGATTTTGAAAAAAGAATGATTATTAGCAAATTATTGGGGGTTGGCTGCAGCCCTCCCCCCCCCCCCCCCCCCCCCCCCCCCCCCCCCC